GTCCTGGATCAGGGTGGGGGTTCCCTTGGGGTGTGGGGTGGCCTGGGAGAAGGGCCTGTGGTGGTTTGCAGGCTGGCCACACCCCCCTGGTGACCTAAGTGGAGGCCCTGGTATCTGGGATTTATCTTCTATAACTGAAAATTTGTAGTCTTGAGTGGAGGCCAGGGCAGACCAGAGCGGGAAGCTTGGCTTCCTCCATCACTGGGGGCAACCCAAGCCTCCTGCTCTCTCCAGCTCTATGGCTGCTGCCATATTTGTTGGATTAATTTGCATACTTGCTCCTTATTGGCTTGTGAGCGTAGCAGAGGTATGGTCAAGTTGCATGTTTCTTTTTTATTAGACAGGATATAAAAATATTTTATCTTTAAAATTATATATAATATATATGCATACAAAGACACTAGGGAAATAGTAAGAAATTGAATTTCTCATCTTTAAAAATTCACTAAATGCTATTGACTTTCATATATACACAAAAAATTTAAATAGAGAAATGTAAGACAAGTGCCTGCTATATAAAGACAACAATTTAGCAAAATGAAATTTTTACTTTGGTTATTAAAATTAATGATTTATGACTGAAACAAATGAATGTTAAACTGTTTCAAATGTTTATAGATGATCATGCCATTCTTCCCTCTCCCCCTTTTTTTCTTAATAGATTATAAATGAAGTAAGTCCTGAGAAATTAGTAGAGTGGACTAACCCAGGGCGGATGAAGGAAAGGACTGTGGATTTGCACTTGCCCCGTTTTGAAGTGGAAGATAGTTACGATCTGGAGGCGGCACTGGGCGCCATGGGGCTGGGGAATGCCTTTAGTGAGCTGAAGGCTGACTATTCAGGCATGTCCCCACGTTCAGGGCTGCATGCCCAGAAGTTTCTGCACGGGTCCTTTGTGGTGGTGTCCGAGGAAGGTACGGAGGCTGCAGCAGGCACCGGGATGGGCTTTGCGGTCACATCAGTGCTCAATTATGAAACTTTTCACTGCAATCATCCCTTTCTGTTCTTCATCCGGCACAATGAGTCCAACAGCGTCCTCTTTTTTGGCAAATTTTCATCTCCTTAGGCCATGAAGGTTTGGCAGAAAAGCAGTGTTGAAGTATTAATATGACTATGGTAGTAGCCCATTCTTTGAAGAAATTTGATTTTTCTTGCTTGCATTTCAATTCAACCTTCAAAATGAATGATTTAGTGACTGCACTGGGTGTGTGTGTTTAAAATTTTCTTTAAAAGTGAAATGTTCTTTTGTGTCATGTATAAAGTGAGTTAAATCAAGGCTTATAAATATGCTGTTGATTTCTTCTAAAAGTAAATGAATGATTTGTAGTTTTATGCACTAATGAAAGAAACTGTCTTGTTAGTACAGACTATGAATTAAAGATTTTGGGAGTCTCTCTAGTTCCAATATTTTGAAAGATTATAATAAAAAGTGAAATAAAACAATAGTTGACTCAATTTATGTGCTACTTTTCTCTTTCTCAGAGTCAGTGCGGCAAACTGCATATAGAAAAGAGAATTTAGAAACACATTAGCCAAACATAAATTAAAACTCAAAAGCCAGGATAAAATGAAGCAATACACCAGGCAGAGAGGATGCCCATATTTTCACCCCCTCTATTCTAACAGAGCATATTATTCATTGTCAATTGCATAAGTATCTTGATATTGTAAATAAAGTCAATGTGGTCATAAAATAAGATAGATTCATTTTAATCCTTGAACTTGACGTTTTATAAATGTGTACACCTGTGCAAACACCACCACACCCAACATACAGGCATTTCCATCAGTCCCCAAGGTTCCCTTATCCTGTTTCCCTGTCAACCACCCCATACAGCCCCAGCTCACACAACTCCTGGCCTGCCTGTCTTAAATCATTACAAGGTATATTTGTCATTTCTAGGGTTTTACTCAAGTGGATTCATATCATAGTTCTCTTTTGTGTCTGCTTTCTTTTGCTGAGCACTGAGATAATCCATGTTGTTGGAATATCAGCAATTCATTACTTCTTATTGACAAACAGAATTCCATTATATGGGTAAATCCACATTTTATTTACTTATTTACCCACTGGGCACTTATGTTGCTTCCAGTGTTTAGCTACTATGCATAATGCTTAGATGCACATTTGTGTGCATAAATCTTTGTGTGGACATATTCTTTCATTTTTCTTGGGTAGACACCTGTGAGTGAAAATGCTGAGACTTAATGGTATATATAATATATGTTTAAATTTATAAGAAACTGCCAAAATGTTTTTCAGAGTGGTTGTACCATTTTCTCTCTTATGAGCAATATTTGAGCATTCCAGTTGCTCTGCATCCTTACCAGTGGTTGGAGTGGTCAGCGTTTTTCATTATACCCATTATTGTGGGTGTGATGCTGGCATCGCATTGTGGTTTTAATTTATGCATTTCTCTTATGGCTGATGATGTTGAGAATCTTTTCATGTGCATGTTGGCCATATGCATACCTTCTTTTGTAAGATGACTATTCAATTTTTTCCCATTTTTATTAAATTGTTTTCTTATTGTTGACTTGCAATTGCTTTTGATATATTATGGAAAAAAACCTGTCATCTATATGAATTTAATTTTGCTGTCATTGGTGGTGTCAACTGAGCAAATTAAAATTTTCATGGAGTCCAATTCGTTAATTTTTTTCACTTATGGTTTCTATTTTTCTGTCTTATTTAAGATATTTTTGTATATCTCAAGTTTGCTAAGACTTTCTTCTAGAGTTTTTATGGTATTAGCCTTTACATTTAGACCTCTGATTTACTTTCAATTATTGTGAAAGGCTTGGGGCTCATTGTTTCTCATGTGGTCTTTCAGTTCTAGCACCATTTGTTGAAAGAGATTGTCCTTACCTCAATGACTTAATCACCCTGGAAACTTTATGCCACATTCATATGTGGGTATTTTTCTGATCCTCTGTTCTACTGATCTAAATGTTTATTATATGTCAATATCTCCCCATCCCTGAACACATTCCTTCCTGGGATTTGATTTGTCTAATAATATAACCACTCAGGCTTCCATATGACTAGTATTGGCATGGTATGCTTTTTTTCTATCTTCCAATTTAATTTAGATGTGTCCTTATACTTAAAGTGAGTTTTAATTTTTAGATTAAATTGATTGGGGGTGACATTGGGTAATAAGATTATATAGATTACAAATGTACAATTTTATGATAGATCATCTGAATATTGCATTAAAAACAGACATTACATAGTGGCATGTTGTGATCATCCCATGGAGATAGAATGGAGTCCCCCTATTCCCACACAAAAAATTGGTTGACATTGAGACTGATAATATCACACATGCACCAAGAAAGTATGAAGAGAATGATTACTTATGTAATGAGGCTTTTTGGGGAGAGCACTGTGTGGTCCCTGGCATAGGAGACCCGGGAGGGCTTTTATTGTGATTAGGATTTGGGTTTGGGTGAGGGTTCCTGTGCCTGGTTAAGCTGTGATTGCTTGGTTTGCACCTCCTGCAGGTGCCAAGGGAGGGAGCTCAAGGGCTTTCTTGCCAGCTGTCCTAAACAGGCTCTCTTGAACACCCTAGAACCTGTGTGGTGAAGACTGGGTACAAATTCCCTCTGTATCTGAGGCTCCCATGGGTTCTATACCCTAGTGCTACACAGACATAGCCTTCAGCATTTGTCTGGAGCCCTGTCTTCCTCCCATGTTCTGCCCTAGGCAAGTCAGTGCTGGTGTCCTGTCTCTTCTTGAAGGTACTTGTCTTTCCTTAGATTTCAGACTGGATGGTGGCCTTATAACTTTCTGATGGCCTTAAGAATTTGTGTATTATCCAGATTTTTATCTTTTATCTCCCTCCTGACCCCTCATCCAATCATGGTGGAGCAGCACTCTTTCCAGCTTTTTCCATCACAGCAGAAACTGGAAGACTGTGTGATTATGGGTGATTCATGTCCTCTAGGCTCCTGAGTCAGGTCAGGCCCAGGAAGCTTCCTGCTGCTAACCCAGAGTGCCCGGCCCCATGCCAATTATTTCCGGATAAATTGTGCTATTTTCTGTATTGAGGGAGAGGCTCTTTCCTGTGAGAAATGTATTTCCGCTGATACTCTCTGAAATATGCTGTTCCTGAGCCCTCTTACCAATGTCTTTGCTTTTCTCCCTACTTGCTCCAGGGCCTACTGCTCAACCTCAGCTGTTTTCACCATTTGCAGTTGTCAGGGAGGAACAAATCTTCCTCTACTCTCAAGGTTCTTATAGCTGGTTTAATAATCAAATAGACATAAAGCAGACTAGCAAATAACCAAATTTGATACATACATACCTATAGGATCCATTTGTAGGCCAATCAGAGACCCCACATGCAGGAGAGGTTCAGAGACAGAAAGGGAGCATGGGTGTGTAAGACATCTTGAGCAAGAGTTGAGGTGGAGTGACTTGGGAGCTTTAAAGAGTCATTGTAGAATGATAAAACAGATGTTTAGTAAGGAGGAAAATTGTCATGTTCTACAGGCAGGTCAAAAATGCTAACTCTGATAATCTCCCATTATGGGCAAGGCTCCTAATCCAAATTCTTCCAGGTAGTCAAGGGAGGGCAAAAGTTTCTCCTGAGCCTGCGATTAATGTCCTTAGCTCATAACAATCCACATATCACAGAAGAAAATTTTGGAGTGACTATTTCTGAACCTCCACACAGCCTTTATATGAATTATAAGACCAGGAATTATACCTACTTCCTAACTTAACTGAGAAAGAAATTTACAGAGACCTTATTCTTCTTCTCCTTCTCCTTCTCCTTCTCCTTCTCCTCCTTCTCCTTCTCCTTCTCCTTCTCCTTCTCCTTCTCCTTCTCCTTCTCCTTCTCCTTCTCCTTCTCCTTCTCCTTCTCCTTCTCCTTCTCCTCCTCCTCCTCCTCCTCCTCCTCCTCCTCCTCCTCCTCCTCCTCCTCCTCCTCCTCCTTCTCCTCTTCTTCCTTCTCCTTCTCCTTGTCCTCCTCGTCCTCCTCCTCCTCTATTTCATCTTCTTGCTTATAGAGGAAGAAAAGAGGAAAGACACTGATATACAGAGCCATTTTCATGCTGGGAATCTCATTTTAATTTTTTCTTTTCCTTCATTGAACAAGCAGGTTTTTCATGTTCAACTTGATTTGTGAACTTAAGCAACAGGAAGGAGTTCCCAGGTATTAGAAGACATAATTTATGGTATGATTACTTTTATGAATCAATACATTGACATCCTGAATTTGAAATATATAAATTAGACACTTCTGGGTTTGTGACATTTTCTGCCTCTCCCAAACTATCCCACCAAATGCAGTCTTCCTAGAGTGAGATTTGTTCACACTAACTACTGTATCTACATTTTCTGTTTGACCACTCACTGCAGTCATCTTTGGACACTTAGCATCTAGATCAATGTCTGAAAATTCAAGAGCTCAAAAAATCTGACTAGTTTAATGTTCCTGCACATTATAGGCAATGTTCTATCCACCAACTTATTGGAGGAGCAAGGAGTCAGCATCTAACAACAAGTTATCAATGAAGAATATGAAAGTGGAAATGTTTAATGCCCACATATCTGTTAGGCATGAACTTCAGTGTAGTTAGTATTGGGCTTGTTGATGGCAGTCAAGGGTGAGTGTGTCTGGGAATGAATACCCCCCAGGCCTGTGCTGTCAATGATCTGGGAGGATAACAGATGAGTGTCTGAGTGGCAATGTGATACGTAACATTAAGTTTATCAAACCATGCTGGGAAGGAAGCAAAATGAAGAGTGACAGGTCTGACCCTAACTATTTTGGTTCAGTGGATAGAGCACCAGCTCTTGGACTGAAGGATCCTGGGTTAGATTCTGTTCAAGGGCACATACCTCAGTTGTAGGCTCAATCCCCAGTGGGGCATGCAGGAGGCAACTGTTCCATAATTCTCTCTCATCACTGATGCTTCTATCTCTCCCTTCCTCTCTGTAAAATCAATAAAATGTATAAATAAAAAAAGGTGACAAGTCTGGAGTCAGGAATCAATATTATCTATCCCAGTTCTGCCCTGACCTAACTGATCCCAAGGATGGCAATTAATTTTGTTTCAATTATTTTTATTTTATTGCTTAAATATAGAGAATTGTAAAAAGGATCTCTACTAACACTTCTAACGTTACATTGGTGACTACTTATGTGATAGTCCACTATATATCTAATTTTAATGGAAAATAATCCAGACATACAGAGGGAATTAAGGTCAACCACTTTAGCAACAAAAGTGGTTCATGTCAATTTTGTTCATGTCCATTTCTAAATCTTCCTCCTATGTGCCAGCTTCAGGGTCAGACAAAAAGAATATAAATCTGGGCTTTGGAAATCGTTTTATGGGGTACGGTAGTTAAGTTCACCTTTCTGAGCTTCCATTTCTTCATTTTAAAAATTGATTTTATAAGAGTTTCTACTTTATTGAGTTGTCGTGAGGATAAATAGACTATGTGCTCATTAAAGAAACTGTAACAGGGTATGCATCCAGTTGATGTTGCCTGCCATTTTCCTTGCCATTAACATCAAATCACCACTCTCACTGCCCTCATCATTATCATTATCAACATCACCAGTAGCAATAATAGCATCCTTTAACTTCGCTTGGAAACCTAATCATGGCCATCCTGTCCTTAGCCACGATATTAAAATCTGAGTTCTTATTTCATCATTTCTAAAGTATTAGTGGATTACAGGTGAGAGAGACATTTTTGACAATGTTTGATTTATACTTCCATGACAGTATTTGGAAGCCAGTGTTCCAGGAAGCTGTACACCAAGGTGTCTATTAATCCCATAAAGCATGATCAAAAGTTCTGACTCACTAAGCTTACTCCAACTAATCCCTGTGATTTGACAATATTTAGTTCTGATCCTGTGTTTGTTATGTGTTCTGCATCTCCAGGCAAATTTTCTCTCATTGCCACACCTCAAACTTTTCACTGCAAGAGGTGTGGGCAGAATAACTGGTTCTAAAATTAACATCCTTTCCATGCCTTTCTCTGGGGGTCAGCATAAAGTCCCAGTACCTCTGAGCACTGGTCTAACTGCTGTATTTATGCAGATGTGTATTTGGAGGGTGAGGTATTGAGATAGAAAGGATGACCTTCCTGGCAACACCATTTGTGCAATCTGGAACATGCTCTGGAGATCAAGAGTTTAATGCTATGATGGGCTTCATCAGTCCTGGGATGCAGAGCTCCAGGTTCCTCTGCAGTAGCTGCCTTGGTATTGCTTTCAAGGTCATTGGCATGCAACCCCTGGAATAAACATGACTGCAGGGAGTTGAAATGCAGACATCTCTCTACTTGTCATATGTAATTTATCATGAATGAATTTCACTTGAGTCTGATCACTAACTTAGAGCATATTAAAAAAAATACAAGCTTTTAAAAATTATTGTTAGACATAAAATATAGGTTAAGAAATCCTTTTTAGAAAGGAAACAAATGCATTCTTAGTCTTCAATGAAACATGAATCTTCTTAGGCAACATTTTGGAGTATGAGTGTTTTTGGTTTCCAACCATTAGGGTACATAATTATCAGGAACAGAGATTATAAAGTCTTAGATGTTAATATTCTAAAAGGCCAGGGCCTGGCTCTGGGTTTCTATGCTCTGGGATGGCCCTACCCTCTGGGGAATGACACACACAGAGCCACTTGGGAGGGCAGAACCTTAGTGAATTCTGGCTTCTGGGTCTACTACAAAAAGTCTTCCTGAATTTCTGAGTTTGCCTCATTTGTGAGATCTTTAGGTTTTATGGATTTATAGTTTTATGACTGCCCACTAGATATTTTCTGAGTAATTTTAGGTGCTTACATGTGTTTATTACATTCATACTGTTACTGTATTTCCAGACATTGAATAAACCCTTGACCATCAACATGAGGGCATTTTGTTCCAAATGTTGGTCTGCTTGTATGCTGAATTTGGTCCCTCTATTCTGGTCATCAGGATGCTAGATTTGTTTATTTATTTTTGTCATATCTGAGAACCTGCTGCCTTAGCCAGCATGGAACATAGCAGGTGCAGAATAATTGTTAAATGACTATATTACACTACTCACAGTGAGGCAACCTTGGATTTTTTATAATGTCTTTTATAATATAAATACAAATGAGTTCTTATGGAAGAAACATTAGGCTCCTGAGTGACTTAAAGGGATTGAGTCAATCCTTCATTCGTCACATAGTTGCTGACCCCTGTGTGTGCTCCAGGTGTACAACACAGATAATTCTGACAGAGCCCCATTCTGATGGAGCCGACAAGATTAAACATTGAGGGTTTTCCCCAAAAGGGGATAATCTCATTTCATAAGGGAAGAAGGTATGTATCCTTTCGTTTCAACATCAGCAGTTTGTGAGGCTTGGCTTTCATCCTTGACTAAGGAAAAGCAACAAGTAATATGAACAAATAACCATTTTATTGATAATGTATTTCATAAAATAAAAATGTAGACTTGTAAGGAAAAAATAGCACATGATATAATTCTTAGTAGACAATGAACACAATTTAACATTGGATTGAAATGTTACAGCAGATGTAAATAAATTTCAGTAAATGTAGGTGTAAGGCTAATACATTTGAATAGTAGATATAATTTTTGAAGCAGCAAATGTGGTATTTCACATTTAGATTGTAGAGTGTTGAAATATCTTCTTACCTTTCCTTGAACATTTTAGCCCAAAGGTAGCATTATCTCGGGGAAATAATCTACATGTGTTTGTAGAAAGAAAGAGACAAACATGCTCTTTCGCACATTACGTTCTTAGTGATGACTATGAGATTGGAAAGGAAAGCTAAAGAGAACCCATTTCTTGCAATCAAAGTATTAGAACAACTCCGTCACCCTCCCCTTAATGCAGCAGCATGCTAACTGCATCTAAGGGGACGAGACTCTGCCAAAGAAGAGAATGCTGTTTGTCTTGTTGTGCTTGATGAGGAACAGGAAGGGGTGATCACAATGGAACATTTCATAAACTGGTGCTGATGTGACAGAAATTACTGCGCCGGTAGCAGCTGCAGCCTCTGTACCCTCCTCTGTCACCTCCACAAAGGACTTGTGTAGGATTTTCGATAGCACGAGACCCCGGCTCCCTGTCATGCCTGAGAAGTCAGCATCCTGTGGACTGAAGGCATCCACCATCCCCAGGGCTGTCAGTGTGTCCTGGAGGTCATAGCTTTCTTCCACTTTGAACCGAGGTAACTGCACATTCACATGTCTCATGCTCATATTCTTTGAGCTCGTCCACTCTATTAATTTCTCTGCAGTGAGTTTGTCTTCAAGCTATAACAATGGGAAAAATAATAAATGATATGATTCTCAGTGGACATTGAAAACAATTGTACATTGAATTAAAATGTTCCAGCAAATATAAATACAGGAGATTCAGTTAATATATATTTTATAATATATAGTAATATATAAGTACATATTACATATAATATACCAAGTCTTCTATATTATATGTAAAACAATAGAACCATTAAATAAAATTATTTTATAAAAGATGAATTACATATCTCCATTCTTAACTGCCTGTCCTCTGCATGTTTACATTTTAAATAGTTCTCTTCCAGTAAATGATTTTTGGACATAATTTTTTTATAATTTATAGCATCCAACTTATTTTTTATACTTTTTTTGTTGCTTGACCTATTTGTAAACATTTCCATATAGCTATATATTTCTTTAATCAAGTTTTAATTGTTATATACTGCCATTAAAATGATAGTCAACATATATATCTTTTCATAATTAATATTTTAAAAGTATTTACTGTTCTTCAGCCCCTAAGCTAAACTACTGTCAATTCAAAGCTGCACCATTGTTCCTTGTTTTGAAATGCTCATTATTTTTAGGCAGTTTGGTCCAAAAGCTTTTGCCTTGCTTAGACTAATTAGCAGAGGATATATTCCAGGATTGGGGCTCCTAATGTCATTTAAAAAATATTTTTTTTTATTGATTTTTCACAGAGAGGTAGGGAGAGAGATAGAGAGCTAGAAACGTCGATGAGAGAGAAACATCGACCAGCTGCCTCTTGCACACCCCCTACAGGGGATGTGCCCGCAACCAATGTTCATGCCCTTGACAGGAATCGAATCTGGGACCTTCTAGTCAGCAGACTGACGCTTTACCACTGAGCCAAACCGGTTTCGGCTCCTAATGTCATTTAGACTCATAAGGAGGACTGTTGCGTGGGAGGAAAGAGACAGTAAAAGTTATCCCATATCCCACCAGGCTACTTTCCTGGGAGCTTCCCCTGCTAGTGTTGCCACAGTATATATTTTTATTGTGGTAAGCTCACTGCAACTCCAGCAGCATCCTTGACTATTATATACAGGAATTGCAGATGCCATTTTTGGAATGTCCTCAATATGTCAGGTATTGTTATTGATATTTTTTACACATTATCTTTAATTATTATAACAATACTAAGAGGAAATTTTCTCTTTTTTTTTTCTCTCATAGGAATGAGAGTCCAAATGACTTAGAGCTCTTAGGAATAGACTACTTCTAAACTGAAAAGTAAAAAATAAAAATGTCTATTTGTCTACTGTCCACAAACCCACTGTGAGTCAGTATGCAAAAACGGTGTTGCAATTTGCTTGCGTGTGTTTATGGGTGAACCTGCATATTTTTTCCATGTATCACCTACATCAAAGTCTTAGTTTTTTTGGTCTTCAAGTGAATAAACTGGAATATATCTGAGGTTCCTATGGTTGCAAAATAGTCCATGTGTGTGCCAAGGTATAAGTATTTTTCCTGAACTGACATTTATGGTTTTATCAGAATGTTAATGAGACCTGTGATCCTAAAAACTTCTATATATTTTTCCATATCACTCACACATGATACTTAAGATATTATTTATTTTTTGGAACAAGGCATTCTGCTAGGTTCTCCTTAATACCTCTCCTTCAGGCTGTATGCAGAGAAGAGACAAAGTATCTATTCTTAAACCCCTTCAGACATCACCCATGGGCTGTGAGCACTGCTTCCATAAATAGCCCACACAAGAGTTGTACTACAAGGAAAATGGACAATAGAAAGAAGAATTGGAGATACAAGGTTTTACCTGCTGAAGACCATCAATTTCATTTGGCAGCAACAACACCATGCTCAGATCTTTGCCTTTGTATGGTATTTCAAGGATCTTGGCTTGCATATCCTCCAGTGATGTGAACTTGAACTTATCTCTTTGTTCCATCATTTGCACAAATTTGCTTGTATCCTGCAGTAAATTAGTGTGGCAAACAAATGCCAAGAGAGGCATAAATTAAAAAAAAATAATAAAAGAATAATATTATTGAGTAGCAAGCACATTCTCTTTCTAAGAGATAATCTGGGACATTTATGAATTAGAGAGAAGAGTTTCTTTAAGGGTTCCTAACTAAATAAATTAAAAAATAAAAATAAAACAAGAAAGTGCAGCTATGAGAAATTCTATTCTTTACATGCAGTTCTACATTAATCAAATATGTGTTGAAATGGAACATTCTATGTCTAGCTACATTGCATTATATAAGAATATAATAGACAATACCTTATTCAGCCAAAATTCCTTCTGCTTAGTTCTTTTTGGATCAAATCTTTCATTCCACTGCCCCTTGAAATAGATAGCATTCACCAGAACCATAATGGTGGTGCTGTCAAGAGAGCCTTCGGGAAAGAGATTCTTGATTTTTTCTGTAAAAGAAAGAAAAACAAAGGTCTATCATGAAAGGTACAAATGGCTTGTCTGGAAGATGCTTTGAAAATTAAAGTGATCATTAGTTATTTGTACAAGTCACAACTTTAGTGATTCCATGACCAAATAGTTGACAAGGTGCAACCTTTCTCATAGCACCAGCCTGATGGAGTTTCCCCCATGGAAAAGTCACCCCTTGTAATTAGGAAGGTGCCCAGGTTCTCCTAGGGTGACTAGTCATCTCACACTGAATACTGATGAACTGATTTTATTTACTCTTTCAACAAATGCATTTCCTCCCTTTGTGCCTCCCTCCCTCCTGACTTTCTCTCCTCCTTCCCTCCCTCTGTCCTTTCCTTTCCTTTCCTTTCCTTTCCTTTCCTTTCCTTTCCTTTCCTTTCCTTTCCTTTCCTTTCCTTTCCTCTCCTCCTCCTTTCCTCCTCCTTTCCTTTCCTCCTCCTTTCCTCCTCCTTTCCTTTCCTTTCCTTTCCCTTTCCTTTTCCTTTCCTTTCCTTTCCTTTCCTTTCCTTTCCTTTCCTTTCCTTTCCTTTCCTTTCCTTCCCTTTCCTTCCCTTCCCTTCCCTTCCCTTCCCTTCCCTTCCCTTCCCTTCCCTTCCCTTCCCTTCCCTTCCCTTCCCTTCCCTTCCCTTCCTTCCTTCCTTCCTTCCTTCCTTCCTTCCTTCCTTCCTTCTTTTATTGTTTTCTTTTCTTTCAAATTTAGGCTCATGACTCAGGGAAATAGGGCCTGATGTTCTTTAGAGCTAATGTCACAAGCTCTATAATCTGAAGCACAAGCTCTATGTCATCAGCTGATATTCCCTGGGGTGTCCTCCTCTTCATTCCACACTTTGAGTTGCTGTTGGTTTAGTCTGGACTGCAGTGAGGAGGGAGAAGATGGCTCATAGGATGGAGACTTTGTTGAACTTTGTACTGTGGTGAAGGAAGAAGCTGTGGGGATGACCAAGTGGGGCAGGCAGGTGGCAAGACGGGGGATTTACAGGAAAGTTGTTTCCCAGTTAACCAAGGTTAAGGGATCCCTTTCTCATCTTTTCTCTTAGGGATCACAATCCAGAAGTTAAGTTTCTGATTTAAAGTAAAAGATGTGAACCCACGATGGGGTCTGAGCAGAGAGTTGGGGTCCACAAAGATGACATCAGTCTCCAGCTGCGTTTTCATGATTCCTCTTGGGCTCCCCTTGTTTCTGTCCACATTTACTTGGACCATGCCACCATCTGCAGTGCCCTCCCCCAGACTCTCTTTTGACTCCTCTCACTCCCTTATCCTGGTTTCTCACACAGTGTTAGCACAGGTTCATGCACAGTGGGGACTCAGGGTGATTTTTCATGGGTAACCCTCTCATATTATACCATTCGTTTGGCTTTCCACCCAGGAATTAATCATCTTTCGGTTTTCTTCTGCAGCATTCACAAAATCAGCAGATTCCACACTGGCTAGGTAGAATTTCTTAACATTATCCAGGTATTCCTTTGATGTGGGAAGGAAGAAAGGAGGAATCAGGAGTGATTTCTCAGTAACTATGCATTCCCAAGTTAAATTATGTTTTATCATGACCAACTATAGTACATCAGCTCACCCCTAAACCCACACTTTACTGGTGGTTTGTCAGGCTCAGAGACACTCCAGTGGACAGAACTGTGGTGAGGAATCCTGACTGACATACCATGAATAAATGACCCCCAGGTGGGTCAGCCAAGCTCTTGTGACTCACTTTTCCCAATTTGATCACTGAGGATAGAGGGCCAGGAGGCAGGAGACAGGTGTGGCAGACTGTGAAACTCACCTGAAGAAACTGAAACTTCTTTTCTCCATAGAGCCGGTTGGCAAGGCTTAGCTCATAGGCATCAGTGGGTTTATTTAACTCAGTCAGAAGCTTTTGAAATTGCTCGTGCACGTTTCCA